CAACCAGGTCGAATGCAGAGCAAAAAAATCTAGTACAGAGAGTTTTTATACGTTAACACCAGGTGTGGTGGCTTCAGATTTCCTGTTCCTTATTTAGCTCCTGAAATGGCATTTGCTGTAGATCTTTGTGCTTTCCCTTGTTTCCTCTTCCATGGGCTTCGCTTGGGCTTCCCACTCACTCTGGCCCCCAACAGGAAAACTAGAAACTGAGAGGAAGAGAGAGAGAGCGTAGCAAGACTGGGAAGAATCACAAGGAAAGATGAAAAACAGATCAGCGAGAAACTGCCACAGGAGGTACCAAGGTAGCAAAGACGAAATAACCATTATGCTGAATTTGAGGGCTGGCCAAATAGCTCAGTGGTTTCAGGCATCTGAAACCAACCTTTTCAGGCAAAGGTTGGAAGTTTGATTCTCCACTGTGCCTCCTTATGAGTAGAGTCAGCCTTGAGAAAGCTGCAAAGTCCAGGAATGACCCCAGAAGAAGGGAAAGGTAAACCACTTCCGAGTGTTCTCTACCTGGAAAACCCTGAAAAGGGTTATGAAAGGTCAGAATTGACTTGACGGCACATTATTCTTATTCTTATTCAAAAATACCAGGCACAGTCAATCAAAATTGTAAAACATTGACAGGTATTACATAACAGATACAAGTTTTAACAAAGAAAGTAAGTATCTGCTAAGTATTTATGTAGTATATATTCTGTTCTTAAATATTGACATTTCTTGGAACTGATGATGTTATTTCTGGAATCTGCAACTGCTTACAAGTGAAATTTCATCATCATAATGGTGAAGAAATTGGGGAAGGTAGGGTCAAAAGAAAACTACCGTATTTTTCGCTCCATAAGACGCACCTTTCCATAAGACACACCAATTTTTTAGGAGAAGAAAACAGGAAAATATAATCTGTTTTCTTCGCTCCATAAAACGCACAGACTTTCCACCCCCATTTTGTGGGGGAAAAGTGCGTCTTATGGTGCGAAAAATACGGTATTTCAAGGGGATTCTTTGTCACCCTTTGTTTAACATCTCACTAATCCCTATGTCAGTAATTTTAAATAAAACTGGATTGGGCTACCATATTTCACAACAAGCAGGAAAAGTCAATCATCTGTAATACATGGATGACTTAAACTATATGCAAAAAGTTCCACGGAGATAGAATCACCACGAATAGAGTTCAAAAATGGCAATATTATAAAATCATTATCAAGGGATGAAAATTATAAATACCTTGGAATACTAGAAGTAGATAACATCATGCACACAAAAGGCAAAGAACTCCACCGTAGACAATGGTAATCATAATCTGCAATGGTAATCATCATCTGCATTTTGGGGGTTTAATCTATGTGCATGTGCATGTTACATGCCATCAAATTGGAACCAACTGACAGCGACTGTAGTCAGGTTTCAAAATTATGATAGTTAAGGAGTGGTTTCTATCAGTTCCACTCTCCACCATGAGTTTTATGGCAGAGCTGGGATTTGAATCCTGGTCTCCTGAATCATAATCCATTAGTCTATCCATTTCACCAGTGGTTCCCAAACTGTGCACCGTGGCACTGCCAAACCCAGCCAGGGTGCCACGGAATCCTCTCATCCTTCCCCTCCTCCCTTCTTCCCACCCACCCAAAGTATCATATGGTAGAAACTTGGTTCTAGTTTCTCTGGTGTCTGCATGGTGGAGAGAGGGAATTCTGAGCCAGTTTTACCAAAGAACTGGGTTTTCTGCCCTCTAGTTCACAACAGATCCTGCTCCATTTCACTAGAAGGTGCTTCTCTTGGTGAAATCAGGAGACCAGTGTGTTTCCATTAAGCATAGTCTCCGGTTCCACCTAGTGGTCAGTTCTGATAATATAGGTTGGGAAAGTATATTTCTGAGGTTTCTTTTCTTTTCTTTTCAGGCAACTGATCCTACGGATACAGAGATGCTACTGAATTAGGGAGCCACGGCCAGTGGCCAGTAAGTCAAGGGATCTGTGAGTCAAAAAAGCTTGGGAACCACTACATTACACCATCTGGGTAGCAGGCCTCCTACTGGGCAGATTTTCACTGGCCAGTTGCACAACATGTCTCTTGAGGCTCTAGCTGGTTTGTGGACTGGGACACTGAAAATAAAGGAAACTGAAAAAAATTGGGTTGGGTTGGTTATGAGCAATACATGATTGAGTGGCAGAGAGACTGTTATATCTAATGATTCATTGCTTCCTTTCTAATGTTATGCCTCCTGTGTGTCTACGCGAATTTCCACCCAATTTCCAGAGTTGTAATATTCAAATAATGTTAGCCTTGCTCCACTATTTTCATCCTGCTTCACAAAGTGACACAGAAGAAACATACCATGTTTCCTTTCCAAATCGTCTGCAATTCCAAAACACACTGGAACTTCCCCAGTCAGAAAGTCCGCCCCCCCTTAAAAACCACACTGACTTAAACCACCCCAGGTCACTCAAAAAAATGAAAGAAACTTTACTCAGGAGTAAATCCTGCCTTTGTTTTGCAAAAGATGCATTCAGGCTTCACAAAGGGCAGTTTTAAATTCAATTTATTAAATTACTTAACACTGAACTGCACTATCGCTTAAACACTCCAACATTTCATGGGGGAGTCAACCCGCTGTGGAATCACAACCTGCAAGCAGAACATTTTCATTTCCCCCTTGCTGCCAAGGAACATTCTGCCTTTTTTTGTGATCAAGTAGGTCCTGTGCCATCCCTCTTGGGCTTTCTGATGGACCATACCATGCACAGTCGTATCTAGCAAGCCCAACGTCTTGGCAATGGAGATGATGGCCATCAGAGGTAGTCGTCCCAGCAGGCCCTGGAAGTCGGGCACTTGTAGTCACGGCTAAGGCACATTGGCTGAGCGTGCAAGGTACGGTGGTGGTACTATGGAACCTAAGCTGTAATCAACCTCACTTGGCTTTCTTTCCCCTCACAAATGAAACAAAAGGTTCTGCGGCAGTCATTTTAGACCCTTCCACCAGCAAGAAGTGCACTTTCCTTAAAATTAAAATTAAAAGAAGGGGAAATTAACATATCGACAGGATAAATATTAGAGGAACATATTTGATCCTGTGCCCCATGCCAGGCAGATACGTACATCCAACCTGGGGCCCACTTATGAAATCTTTGGACCACCTCCCCTATCTTTGTGAAGAGGAAGCTTGTGTACGTACTTCAAAATCCGTCCTCTGCAAGGAGCCTTTGACCTTCATGACAAAACACTCCTTTTCCATATTTTGGAAAAGACCCATAAAGTTGCTGTGCAGACTTTGGTTTGCTTGACCAGGAACGACCACACATTTGTCCTTCCTCTCTAACAAATGAATGCTTCTCCACTCAGTGGTAGAGCCATCCATGTGTTGCACAGGGAAGGGTGAAAGGCCCGTCTCTGGCATTTCCAAGCAGAGGAAGGATAGTCTTCTGCCTAAACCTTAAGGAGTCACTGTCAGCCACTCTTACTAATTTTGGGCCAAAGGACTTTCTGTGTTGCACTTCTTGTAAAAGCCAGCTTTGGTCAGACAGTGCTTCTTTCTTTCTTTCTTTCTTTCTTTCTTTCTTTCTTTCTTTCTTTCTTTCTTTCTTTCTTGCTTGCTTGCTTGCTTGCTTGCTTGCTTGCTTGCTTGCTTGCCTGCCTGCATGCTTGCTTGCCTGCATGCCAGCTAGCTTGCTTCTCCTTTCCTTCCTTCCTTCTTTCCTTTCCTTCCTTCTCCTTTTCCTTCCTTCCTTCTTTCTTTCTCCTTTTCTTCCCTTCTTTCCTTCCTTCCTGTCTGTCTGTCTGTGTCTTTCTTTCTTTCTTTCTTTCTTTCTTTCTTTCTTTCTTTCTTTCTCGTCATTCCAGTCCTAATGGGAATTAACTCCCACCTAGTATTGGAAAAATACCTAAATCTTATACCGGAAAACAGACATGGGATACTGGATACTTTCGCGCTCACACACATGAACGTAGAAACGCATCCTTCATAGAAGGAGGGGTTACTTTTATCCAGTTGCTCAGAAAACCCAAATGTTATATTCAGGTTCACTGTTCTTGTATAAAAACCATTAACAAATACTGTCGGGTAGTCTCCTCTTATGCCACAGTCTCGGAAAAATATAGCTGTCTTGAGAACATTGTCGTCGTCGTCCACTTCTTCCTCCCCTAGAAGGCCTTTCTTCTGGATATCCTAAACTGTTTCACTGCCTGGGGGACTTGAATCAGGACACTTTTGCCTCATCCTTTCTTCACCTGAACAGGAAGAAAAGAGAATATGGCAAACGTTGCGTAATCCTTCATTCAGTTTCCTTCTGCCCCGCCAGGTGACGTATTGCCTAGTTATAACTTAAATAGAATTGCAGACAGCCACCACTCCACTTCTTAAGAGTAGGGAGGCAAAGGTGATGAGCATAGCAACATGCTACAGTCAGGATCACTTGACCCCCATCTTCGAGGCCCACGGTCAGCTCTGGCTTTGGCCCATTCCTCTGCCCACGCAGAAGGTTTCAGGGAGCTTCGTTTGCGAAAAGCTTTGATTTAATGCTGATGCAATCTGGCAACTACTCAAATGAAGATGATCCCACAGACAAGGGCAATCGCTGCCAAGGCTTCGAACCGTCACCGCCCTTCCCAGGAGGATCTCCGTTCCTGGCTGCCAATACACTGAAAATAACCACATGCTTGCATCCCAGTTTGGGTCTTGCAGAGTCTCTACACCAGCCAGTCTTTGAGAGAAGGGGCAGCCATGTCTGAAAAGCTGACGGCCACAACAGGCTCCAGCCAGCTCATCAGGCAGCGCGGGGGGGCAAAACGGCAGTCCGTATTCCGTCAGAAGTAGGTGAGATTCTTGATCAGTCCCATTTCAAGCATCTTTTTTATGGCTGATGCCTCGTGGGAGACATTGTGTCCTGATGTCTGCAAAGGAAAAGAGAGTGGAAATCCATCACAGGATATAGCCTGCGAGTTTGTCAAACTAAACAAATGGAAAAGGTGAAGCTCTTGAAATCTAAACGGCAGTCCGTATTCCGTCAGAAGTAGGTGAGATTCTTGATCAGTCCCATTTCAAGCATCTTTTTTATGGCTGATGCCTCGTGGGAGACATTGTGTCCTGATGTCTGCAAAGGAAAAGAGAGTGGAAATCCATCACAGGATATAGCCTGCGAGTTTGTCAAACTAAACAAATGGAAAAGGTGAAGCTCTTGAAATCTGGAAGCNTCCAGCAGTCTGCAGTTCTTGCTTTGTTTAATTACCTCCAATGAAGGGAAACTCACCACATCCTAACATGGTAGTGTTCACAGAATCACAGAATAACTGAGTGGGAAGGGGCTTGATGAGGCCATCGAGTCCAAGCCCAGGGGAATGCAAGCATCCAAATCAAAACAGATCTGACAGCTGATTGCCCAATTGTTTTCTTGAATGCTGCCAGGACTGGAGCACTTACCACCACAGACACCTTCCATGTTGGCCAGCTCTTCCCATTAGGAAGTTTCTCCTAATGTTTAGTCAAAAATCTCTTCTCTGCAATTTCCACCCACTGGGCCAACCTCTGCCCTCTGGAACAAGAGTGGACAACCCCTTTGAATACCCCGTGGCAAGCCTTCCCTGTTTCTTCTCAAAGTTCTCTTCTTCAAAATAAACTTACTCAGCAATTTTAGAGCTCTTCAGCATCGTTAGCCACTCTTCTCTGGATACACTCTACTTGTACTATGTCTTCCATTGTATGCAGTGCCCAGATAAGAAGCCTTCTCCTAAGCACACCCAACATAGCTGCTGGGTTTTTAAGGGCAGGTTACTGTCAGAGAAAGCCAAAAAGGCAGCCTGTGTATGCCGCTCACTTGATACGTAATAGAGCCGGAAGCAATTGCAAGTATGGGCTCCCTGCAGTCTTACTAGTACAACTTCCAGGTCAGGGGGTTGTTCTATGATCAGACAAAGACCAATTCACATATAAATGCATTGGTGTGTTTGCTGCTGCCCAGAAACTATGACTGACAGCTCCGGAACAACCCAGGATATAGTCTATTATTGGCTCATTCCAAAGCAGCTTAAATCTACTTCCTGATTTGTTTGGCAATCCTTGCCCAGCGGTTATGTGTGCAGGCAAAGCATAATTCATGGTTTTGTTTCTTAAGCTGAGATACGATCTTCCAAACTGTGCCCGCATGATCAGCAGCATGGCTCCATCTGTCAAGAAAGAGAGTGGTTACTCACGGCCATCGACTTCACTGTGATTTGCTCATAGTAGTGAATGGACTGCTTCTTGTTGGCAGAGTCAGGGTATCCAAAGCCGGCAATATGGACCACATCGCAGAAGTGCAAAGCTAAGGTGATGGCCACCAGTCCTGTGGTTGGTTTCTAGAGCAAGACAAAACGAGAAAACTGATCATGCTTCCCATAATTACGTGCTACTTTATTCAGCCCTGGAAGGAGTGGTGAGTTCAGCTGAATATAAATCTGAAATATGTCTATAAACTTTTATTTGCAAACCCTTCCTTAAGCTCCATGAACAAATGCTTTTCCCGACATTACTGTTTCCTTGTGTGAAGGTAAAGCAACATTGGGAGATGCTGTCACTGGTGGTGACTCTACTTATATTGTCATGATTTACCAAAGGACTTAAACAGAGGTTGGTTTAGTCCTTAGTAGGAGAAATACATGCTGGCTGGATAGCTCAGTTGGGAGTTCAATTCCCCTCTATGCCTCCCACGAGAAGAACCTGCCTGTGTAGTCTTGGGCAAGCTGCACAGTCTCAGGACACCCTCAAAAGAAGGGAATAATAAACTACTTCTGAGTATTGTCTACCTAGAAGACCCCGAAAGGGGTCCCTTAAGTCAGAATTTACTTAATGGCACACAATTATTATTAGGGACAATACAGTAAGATTTAATATTCTTCCTTTTGTCGAGGAACTTAAGTGTAAAATGTCTTCTCCCTTTCTCTGTCATCCTTCCAACCATCCTGTGAGACAGGAGATGGTGAGAGATGGCGAGTGAGATCAGGCAATCTGGTAACCATTGTGGGTGAATAGATACTCAAGCTTGATGTTCATCTTTTCTGGGTCTAACATCCTAGCCACAACTCAGCATTTACTCCTATAGATAAACATAGCAACGTGTCTGAATTTGTTCAAATTCAATTTGCTTGCTTAGCTTAGTTAAAATTTTGTTTCGAGTAATTATGGTAAAGGGTGAGTTTACAGGTCATAAAAGTCCTAGCCCCGATACGAGCCCTGGTCGAACTTCAGGGGGATTTTTTTAAAATCACATATTGCCTATATGCCCTTCAATGCCAAGCTTAAGAATGGGAGACTTGCCTCAAAAACCTACACAAGATGCTGCTTAACAGGGTGCACATGCTCAGGTATATTGTCCGCAACCACTATTTGTGTCACATGGTGTAATGGCACACTACTAGATAATTTGTGGCAAATTTCATAAGATAAAGAGCACTTGAGCCTGGATTTTTGATTCCTCACTGTGCCTTGCAGGAGAAGAGCCAACTAGAGTAGTCTTGGGCAATCTATGGGTTCCCAAAGTGCCCAATGAAGAAGGAAATGGTAAACCACTTCTGTGTGCTCTGTACCTAGAAAATCTTGGAAAGGACCGCCATAGATGAGAAACAAGTCGACAGCTCATAATTGTCACTTAAAAAGTCAATATAGACATTACCGGCATGCATAACAAATCATGCCAACTCAACATGCAATAATGTCTATGTTTACTTCTTAACTTGTTGCAGTTCCACCTCGAGGACCAAAAATTACACACAATTAGGGCCTAGGTCTCTAGATGCATTTTAAATGCTTAAAATGAGACAAGAAGGAGAAGGCAATTAGCTCAGAGTACAGATGGGCACAAACCACAGTTTGGACCGGTTTGGTGTGGCACCCGCACAGATGTTCCACAGGCACTGCGCGCTTCCCTCCTTTGCCTTCTCCGTGTGATCCTCCGCTCATCAGTAGTGCTGGCAGGCTTCCCTGCCTCGCCTCCTCATCTGAGTGGACGATCACATGGAAGAGGCAAGGGAGAGAAGCACATTGCTACCATTGAATCAGTGATTGCATAGGGGCATCTGCAGAATACCTGTGACAGTTTGTGTCCATCTCTAGCTCACAGCATCATCACTGACTGGGCAAGGTATTTAAGAGTCCCCTCTGGCTTTGCTTTCCACCAGCAACATGGCTGCTCTAAGCAAGCTGCCCCCTCGTGTATTGATCTCATGTCTCTAAGAAAGAAACACATCTTTGTCCCATGTCACTTAAATTCTGTCCACAATATTTTATGGTGTCTATTTCCCTCTCTCTCTCTCTCTCTCTCTCTCTCTGTGAGCTTGGCTATCATCATGGCACTGTGTGCACTGGTTATTATTTATTAAGGTGCAGCAGTTTCTGATGTTACTCATCCAACAAATCTCTGATTATCTACTAAAGAGAATGGTTAAAATTGCAGAGTTAAAGGGAAAAAGCATTTTGCTAACCCCAGAAATGTGTATTTCAGAATTTCAAAATAACCATTCCTGTCCTTGCCTTCTCATGATCTCTCTCTCTTTGATAGACCTGGCTCTTACCTGTTTAAACTTCCGTAGCTGCTTCATTGGAATGTTAAGCAATTTTGCGGCAGTAATTTCCATAAAATATGGGTTCAGAATTCGGACTTGCTCAGGATTTGCATCCCAGATTAAAGGAGGCTGTTTCCAGAAGCCTTTCCGTATCTAGAAGGATGATAAACATCAGTTCACTCTTTCTTTCTGACTCTCAAGAGCAGTGTCATAGATTAGGAGCTAAACTGGATTAACATGGAGTAACAGAGCAGAGCAAGGCTGGGGGGAAAAAAGCAGTCTACAGCAGTAGCCAGTTTTAGGTATTACACCTTGGAAATGGATTCCTCATTATTTAGCTAACTCTATCTTTGTGCCTTGAAAACAATAATGTTCCTAATCAAGTACAGAATATTCTCCTTGTCTCAAAACGACTAGATCCCTCATTGTTACCAACCCCATAGCAAAGGTAGTTTGTCGTAATTCCCATTTAACTGGTAAATAAATTAGGTGATGAGAACGCAAGTTGTACTTGAGGATCACATATCATGATGGCACAAGCTGGTCTTCAGCACTGGCCTCTTGGATAGAAGATGGGCACCATAGGCACAGGACTCTATGAGCATTTCAAAACATCTGTCACACTTTCAAGCTTAGGAAGAGCTTCTGGATCAAGGGACTCTGGTTTCCAACGCATGAGCCTCTTTTCACGAATCTAGCTTTTGGAAGATGGGCCATTCTTAGCCTCTGAGGAACCTACCCTCTTCTTGTCGTGAAGAATTGTCTCCAACCAAAGGAAGTCCATAGGTTTGAATGCCACTAATACCAGCAAGGTGTTGAGGTCATTTTCAGTTTTGGGATTGAAGTGTGCTGACTCTGGGTAAAAGAGCCGCATAGTGGTTTTGGAGCCCACGTCATGTTCATAACCATGGACTGGTGCATTATTCAACCTGGAAAAGTAGCAGGGAGGGGAATTGACATAGTAAGGCATAAGCGTGAACCATAATGCACACACAAGCACCAAGGCTGTTGCTGAATCTTTGTTCTGAAACTGGTCTGTTTTACAAGAACAAGCAAACAAAACAAATACAAGGAGATTCTGATAAATCAAATTCTCTCTGCTTTGTAGCATGGCAAAAAATCAAAGTCAATATATCTGTTTTTTCCAGATTTGCATTTCCCCACCCTCTTCACATACCAGAGTTCCATGCAGTGAAAAAGATGCTGCCACACCTAAAGAAATTCACTATGTACTTTTTTTCCTCTTTACTGTAGAAGATTGGAACCCCCAGTACCTGATCACAACATCGTATCTATTAATAGCATCTCCCATGGAGCTGTTTCTCAGCCTGTGTCCGTTCCCTACTACTGCACATCTTCGGCACTTCAGACTGCAGAAGAGAAAAGGAGGGGAAATTAATTAGAGATTGCTGAAGCGAAAGAAAAGGTTACAGAAGGTGGAATGATCAGATAACCCGCCATGCCAAAGGAGGTTCCGTCTTCGACACCTTTAATTAAAAGAACCCAGTACTGTAGTTGATGACACGAAAAAACTTCCTTGAAAACTTGGGTGGCCAAGGGCTGTAATAATACAGTGTCACCAGGGTTTTAAAGCACTCTGTCTCTCCAGAGTACTCACAATGGAGGTTGGACTCTTCCTGTTGTTGTTTAGTCATGTCCAACTCTTCGTGACCCCATGGACCAGAGCACACCAGGCCCTCCTGTCTTCCACTGCCTCCCGGAGTTGGGTCAAATTCATGCTGGTAGCTTTGGTGACTCTTTCTGACCATCTCATCCTCTGTCGTCCCCTTCTCCTCTTGCCTTCACACTTTCCCAACATCAGGGACTTTTCCAGGGAGTCTTCTCTCCTCATGAGATGGACAAAGTATTGGAGCCTCAGCTTCAGGATCTGCACTCAGGGTTGATTTATTCTATGATTCCAATGTCTCCCAAATCAGAGTGCTGACACTCCAGCAATTTTCCCAGCTGGTCCTCAGCCATCAGCAATGTAGTACTGAGGAGACGGATCACAGCTAAGATGTGTGAGGGAACCAGAGTGGAGAAAATTGCCGTTCCTTTTTCTCTACTCCTTTCTCTCTTCGCTTCTCCACGGGAACTGATGTCAGCCAAGCGGAGTTGAGTAGTCCAAGAAACAACAGAACACTACCTACGGTAATAACCACTCTGGGGATGTCCATCAAATTACACACCTGTATTCTATATCAGGGAGTGACATGTAACTAACTGCATGTTACTACTGCTGATAGGCACAGGCATAGGGACAAAAGTTCTGCTCTGCAACTCAAGAGGCCAATGTACTAGGGTCCTTTCAAAGGTGAAAGGTGGGACAGAAATATTTTAAATAGATAATAAAATATCAAACAGGCAACAGGCTGTAGGGAAGCAGGTGGCTTCAGCCAGAACAGAATCAGACTGTGATATCTGAAAGGACATAGCCATCGAACCTTCAACAAAAAGTAAGCCACCAGAATTAAGAGTACTGTGAAACTGGCACTAAACATACTATACTAGAAATGAACCACTGTGGGCTGTCGTCATAAGCTTACTAACCTGTATCTGTTCCTCAGATTAGAACAACTTCACGCAAGTGGTAAGAATTGCCAACACAAAATTTATCTGAAGAACACCAAGCAATACCTCCCCAGGGCATTGGCAGCAACTGCAACGGTTGCCAGTGAAGGCAATAAAATGCCTTTAACTTTTTTTTTCCTGGAAAGCTGTTGCCTCTATCTCTTATCAGAATACTTTCTCCATCTGTTCAGTTTGCAGTTTTATAGGAAACAAGCCTTCACAAGAACACCCAGCATTTACAAAAGCAGAGGGGGGAAGGGGGAATAAACTAAAATAAACAAGGATCTTAAAAAGATCAGGTATAAGGATGATGATCATCCTCATCCCCATACTGCAGGTGGAAGGGCTGAAACACGCAGGCAGATCTGAGAATATCTTCTCAGTAGAGGAAGGGTTTTAACCAGGATCTTCCTTATTAATACCTGGGCACACTTTAGGTACACTAGCTTTTGCTGAGAATTCTTTTTTTAAAAAGCCCTGCACTGTGCATGATTTTATGTAACTCCACCATACCTGCTACTTCATTGTCTTAAGAATGCAACCTTAGAGCCCAGAGACAGCTCACCAGAGGGAGTTAGGATCAGGTGAAGGCATCTCACTGCTGGCAACCGCTAAGTGACAGGAGATCCACTCCAATGGTCTTATCCTGCCCACAAGAATTTCCGCAGAAGGAAAACAACTTTGGTCCAGATTATCTGAAATACCGTATCTTCCCATACAAACCCTCCGGAGTGTGCAAATCAGCAGGATCTTCTCATGGTTCTACCTAGAGATGGGCACCAACCGCTGGTTCGTGCTTATTCATCCGTTGGACGAACAGGTGTCGGCTGGTTCTCAGCTCCGCTTCCTCAGACTGACACCCACTCAGCGTTCTGGATTCCCTGCCTTACCTCCTCTAGGTGCTGCCTCTGAATGGGCGCCCACTGGAGGAAGCGGGTCTGGGAAGCACTGAACACGTGTTTGTCTGTAGGCAAATCAGCACAGACCAACAAAGCAGCACTTGATGTCCATGCCCACCACCTTCACCAGCCCATCTGGTGGGGATTTCAGAGTAGGCCTTCTCATGACCATGCCCAAGCTCTGGAACTTCTCATGAAGATACGCTAGGTCCTCACCTCTCCTGGGAGCAGGTGGAAACCTTTTTTTTACTTGGACCGTGTCTGTCTGTAGGCAAATCAGCACAGACCAACAAAGCAGCACTTGATGTCCATGCCCACCACCTTCACCAGCCCATCTGGTGGGGATTTCAGAGTAGGCCTTCTCATGACCATGCCCAAGCTCTGGAACTTCTCACGAAGATACGCTAGATCCTCACCTCTCCTGGGAGCAGGTGGAAACCTTTTTTTTACTTGGACAGCTAAGAGCCTCCAGTTTCCCTGCAAGATGGGCCAGTTCTCACTGATTTAAGTTAAATTAATAGTACTTTGATTTCATAGAGTCTTCATTTTAACTGTATTTTCATCATGCAACAGAATCTAGCTCTATTTTAATGTCTGTCTCGTTATTATACTGTATTTTAATCTGTTATGGTTAAAACTTCTCTGTAAGATGGCAGGTTCCAACTCTAAAAGAAAGGGGACGTGTAAATGAAACAAATAAGTAACAACTAAATGAACCACTGGCTCACTGGCTATATTCCTGGAATTGGACATTTTGGAAATGTTGCCTCTGAGGGTTTGGAAGAATTGGATGCAAAGCCCTGAGGAGCTTCTGAGGGGCTCTGAGTCCCTCAACTATGCCAGCTGTAACCACCTACATACTCCTGGCTTGGCCAGGGTGAGCCAGGACAGCCTGGAATGCAGGAGCCCCTCTATCCCTCTGCTCCTCTCCAATCTCACCCTACATTGTTCTGCTATTATTGTTCAACCGAAACGTTTGAACTGCATGTTCGTTAAATAAGCCTCATAAAAGAAGTTTTGTAAAAAAAAAAAAAGGAAGGAAAAAGAAATCAATTATAAAAGGAAGTACAAAGAGAAAAGAGAAAATAATAACTAATCATTTTTAGTCTTTCCCCCTGAATTTTCTGTGCTATCTTTATAAGGGGAAACGTTTCCTGGTTGCATTGATATATGAGCTTCCCTGAGAGTAAATCCCACTAAAGGAAAGAGTCTTGCATCTGAGTAAACATGTGTAGCCTTATATTATCTTTATTCTTATTTTACAGAAAGAGCAGAGAGTTTCCCTATGTCAGCGATTCCTAATTTTGATTGGCATTTACACCCAATCAGCCACATACTTTGGGGATAGTGCTGGCCACCAAACCCACTTGAGATCTTGTGCCCAAGTCATGCTAAAACCAACAATTCCTTTTTCCTCTTTGGATTTATAAAGTTTGCATTTGGCTTCACAGGCTGCAACTGATTCCCCCTTCGTTTTCATGCGAACAGACACCTAAGCTTCTGGCTGTGACTCATGTCTGTAAAGAAGGTGTGGGAATGTGTGTCCCTGCCAGGATTAAGGGCAACAGCCAGGGGGTTGTAAAAAAGGCTAACAAATCAGACAGCTCCTGGCAGGAGATGCTGGGTGGTGTCTTTCAATTAGCCCTCATGCAGGCAGGTTGTGCATTGGGGGAAGATGACTGACATATGGGCAAAGATCAGCCATGGGACATCAAAGAATATCCCGTAATCAAAGAATCAAAGCAAAGAGAGGAATCAGAGCGTGACTGGAAGGGAGCAGAGGCTGCTAGAGTGAAATTGAGGAGAGCCATCAAGAGTTTCAATGCCACCTATATCTCTGTATATTTATATATTTCAATGTTTTATTTGCGGCTGGTCTTTGACCGTAATAAAGCTTTGTCTGTCTGTCTGTCTGTCTGTCTGTCTGTCTGTCTGTCTGTCTGTCTGTCTGTCTGTCTGTCTGTCTGTCTGTCTATCTATCTATCTATCTATCTATCTATCGCCAGCTAGATTCCAGGAAAAATCAGGAAAAGGCCGCACGGTCATGGAAATATTACAAATGCAGGAACAGGTGATACCTGTAATTGACCATTTAAGGATAAAAACAAAAACAAAACAAAAACCAAGCTCTGGATTATAAATCATCTTCTTCAAGGCTGTGCATTAAGTTATTGTTCCAAAATTAGTAATAGGACAGATGTTTGGAGCTGCCCACAAGAACTTGACGCACAGCCTTGAAGAAGGTGATTTATCATTGAAAGCTCGCTGTTAGTTTTTTTTGTTTTATATTCCTAATGGTCAGTTAAAGGTATCACCTGTTTTTGCAGATAGATTCTATTCTCTCAGGCTGGGCATGGACAAGAGGTTTGGTGTGTGTCCTAGGTTTATTTTTTACAGAGAATTGAAAAAGAGGAGGAACCAAGTTTGGGGGGGAGTATTGGTCATGGTGTCCATGCAGCAGATCCTACGCTTAATCATTAGTCAAACAACAGGCAACAAGAGAAACTGTTCTTTGTCCAAGAAACGTGAGACCCCAATCCATTAGATTAGGGTGTTTTCATGTAAAGCCTTCATTCTGTATGTCACTTGTTGCAGACATGGCGCTTGCCTTGGGGTTGGGTTGCAGACAATATAATCTACCTTCTGTGATACTCCTACGTTACCAAGTAGAAGGAGGAATATGTTAAGGCTCAACAATTGAAACAGGTGCATAATTGTTGACTGGCAACACAAGGAACTCAGTCTAGACAATAATGTACCAGACGGTGGAAAAATTTGATCTAAAGTGAGGTAGCTTCCAATATTCCAATATGAAGGTTTTAAAGTGCTGCCATTCATGGGGACATGGTGGCGCTGCAGGTTAAACCGCAGAAGCCTCTGTGCTGCAAGATCAGAAGACCAAGCAGTCGTAAGATCAAATCCACACGACAGAGTGAGCTCCCGCCGCTTGTCCCAGCTCCTGCTAACCTAGAAGTTCAAAAGCATGTAAATGCAAGTAGATAGATACCACCTCGGTGGGAAGGTAATGATGTTCTGTGTCTAGCTGCGCTGGCCACCTGACCACGGAAACTGTCTATGGACAAACGCTGGCTCTACGGCTTAGAGATGGGGATGAGCACTGCGCCCTAGAGTCAGACACGACTGGACTAAATGTCAAGGGGAACCTTTACCTTTACCTATTCATGGGTGCACACGAATAAACGCGAGTAGTTTCAGGAGACAAAACTGGTCAAAGAGGCCACAGCTTTATCCTACTAGGGTCACAAGAAGCCTGAGTAGGATAGCACACTCCAAAGGTGGAGAACACATTTACAAATAATTGTTCATTGTCTTAAAAGCAATAGACTCTCTCCATACTAATAGGCTGGGGGATGGATAAATGGGTTCTGCCAGATTGGTTCATATTTCAGCTCCACCCCACCCCAGCAATACTTAATCAGAAATGCCCCAAATCCACCATGATTGAACAACTGGCTATCAATTGCTTTCTTAGCACCCCGACACACGCTCTGCTTTGAAGGCCATCTTTCTCTGAATTCTTCTCCTGAATGAGCATTTCCATGGATGCGAAAGAGCCAGGCAAACACAGCTGAACCCTCCTACCCCCATTTTGAAAACCTTCCTAAGCTGGAGATGACACAGACCACTTCAACACATCTCAAAGAGGTGAGGGGTTGGTGAACAGGTATTACCTTTGTACACTTTCAGGCAGAGAGTAACCTGTGACCGCTAAAAGCCGCACGAGAATTTCCTCTGAAAAAGGAACAATAGCAGGTAGTTAACAAGGTTCATGCACATTATCTCACTTCACAAATTTTTAAAACATTAAAACACAAGAGCAGCCTTTGTCGCCGAGCCAACAGATACTTCTGTGAAGCCCTTCATTTGTATCTCAGCAACAGGAAGACTCCTGCTGTTTTTCTTAGCCATGGCAGACCATTTCTGGAATAACTTGTGTCTTGCTGTAACAAATCTGCCTAAGTTAAAAAGGGGGGGGGAGTGTTGCACATACACACAATTGAATTCTCCACACAGCTCTGAAAAGCAGGTTTGTAAAGAAGCCACAAGACATGTACTCAAACTTCTTCAGAGGAGAAGGACAGAATTAAAGGCAAAACTAACCTCGTATTTGGCAAACAAGATTTATTATGTTAAATAGTAATCCAAAGTCAATAAGGCAGAATAAACCCCTCAAGAAAAAGAGAGAAAAAGAAAAGGAAGAAGGAAAAAGAGGCACACGTAGAGGCAAAGGGCTCAACCAGAAGCTGACAGAGAACAGATGGCTAGCATGCTTACCCGTTCCTTTAGTACCATACGGCAGCTCATAGGGTGAGGGGGTCTTTACCCAGAAGTAATCCCTCAGCTGTAAAAACAGTGGATGATCCCGTGTGAAACTGAAGGGAAAGCAGAAGAGAAAGCTTTTGGTATATTCAGAGATTGCAGCCGAAACCGAAGTTCTACCTTTCCGGCCCAAACCCCTTTCTCCTGCCCAAAAGATCAAGATGACCTTAAGAGGCCAGCAGAGAGCCCATTTCCTTGGGATAAGACGGGTCCCGGGACTCACTTTGCTATGAGCAGAGCAGCCTTCCTTTCCACTTCTCCTAGAGGACAACTCATCCTGTTATCTTGCAGAATATGGAAATCAAAGCTGGAAGACAAAGAGCAAAATGGGAGTTTGGGTGGCAAGTTCAAGCCAAATGCAACTCGGGGGTCAGATGTGAAACCAGACCACCTCAAAGGCCGCGTGGCAGCCAGCATTTGAAGAAGCATACCTGGCAGGCTTCTGTCATGGATTCTTTGGGGCTCACATTTAGAATTTTTCTACAATACCAGTGCTTAGCCTGAGGAAGTTGATTTGACCCCAAAAGCTAGCTAAATGCCTCTCCTGCATTGGTAGCAAAGGGGAATTTGGAACGACATGTTTTTTTATCATGCCATTGATTTTTCTTAGTGGTCTACTAAAGATACCACCTCTCCTGCATTTGTAGCAAAGGGGAGTTTGGAACGACATGTTTTTTTATCATGCCAGACTAAGCATTTCCCAGTACAATTTAACAGTGACCACTAATATTTCACAAAGAATCATTTCTTCCTCAGGCTGGGTAATACAGTGGTGATGCTGGGGGAAAAAAGTCCTTCAAATTATGGCCAGAGGTACAGGCCAAACTCCTTTGTTTAAAGCAGTGGTTCTTAACCTTTATTACTCAGATGCTTTTGAACTGCAACTCCCAGAAACCCCAGTCAGGACAGCTGTTGGTGAAGGCTTCTGGGAGTTGCAGTCCAAAACTCCTGAGTAACCCAAGGTTAAGAACCAGCGGTTTAAAGCAAGTAGCATGACTTTTTCTTTTTATTTAAACCATGGCTGAAATCCAGTAAAGTTCCACTGTATAACTCTGATGATATAATCAGCCATGGCCGTATTTTGGTAATGAAAAGTTTCCTTTGGTCCTGGAGAAACATTTAGGGGCAATCAAGGTAGGTGGGCACAGGTGACAGTGTCTTTCCAACATTTAAGACTTCCCAGGAATACAAAAAAAATTACTGCCAAAATACAGCTACAACTAATAACATCATCAGATTACATTCCCATCATGGATTTTCAGCCAACGTGCGCATGTTTGTCATACACATGATGGCTCAACTAACAACCACTTTACCAGAAACAACCAAGTTTGGTCTTCTTCCTGCAAACAAACTACAATTTTTGGACTTAATCTGTGTCCAGGCTTACCCTGGTAATACATTTTCAATGTCAAAACCCTTGAGCATGTGCAAAGTACAATTTCTCTTATCACCAAGTATCTATAGAGTGTTCCCACCCACAAAGATTAGGAAAGAGTATTTAAAACTAAGCTCTGCCAGACATACAGGCCACCTGGAGCGCAGGTTCCGGAAGAAAAATAGAATTAAAAGAAAACTAAATAAATACTAAGGAAATGAACTGTAAATCCTCTTTAATTTACTTTATTTATAAAATGGCTTCACTAGCTATTAATCCGGTGCTGTTTGATTCCTATAACACTTTTCTCTTGGAAGTCAGATGGGGCAAATGAATAGCCCTTCTGAGACCTCTTAATTTTTGTTTTAAAGAAATACACTCACAGCTGTATATACCTTTCTTCCCGGGATATTGTATACCACACCATCACCAAAAATACAGCCAATACTCCAAGTATCTTCCATCCTGAACAAAAAAAAAAAGAGAGAAAACACACAGTTAACACAGAGCCATTCCCCAGTAGCTGGGAAAGAATGTGTGTGCTGGAACGGAAGTAGCACCGGATAGCTAGGTTCAATAGAAGCCTGGACTTACGGTCGTGTCACGCTGGATGATTACCCCGGTCTATGACGAATCCGCTTTACACTGATCTATTGCAAAAGGATGTTTTAAATGGGGTTTTTTCGCTGCGCGATGATCGGTTCCCTGCTTTGGGAACCGATTTTCACTTTACGACGATCAGCAAACAGCTGATCATTGGGTTTCAAAATGGCCACCGGCTGAAGAAAATCCCCCCCCCGCTGTTTTCTAGGACAGATTCCTTGCTTTACAGGCACCGAAAAGGGCCGCCATATGGAGGACCTTCGGTGGACGAGCAGATATTCAGCCCATTGGAACGCATTGAACGGTTTTCAATGCATTTCAAATGGGTTTTTTAATTTCGTTTGATGACGTTTTCACTCTACAGTGATTTCACTGGAACAAATTAACATCGTCAAGCGAGGCACCACTGTATTAGGACACAGGTCTTACCTATTTCAATACCAAGTCTCAAACCTTAGAATATATGATCTCACAACAAGAAGACTTGTTAGTATCTGACAGACAGATACCTAAATTTGGCCCACCCGGGAGAAAGGGCTCAACCAGTAGGCTTCGAGACTCATCTAGGTCTAGTTCCATCTAGCTTCCTGTTTGGAAAGAAAGCTGCCCACCTTGCACTAGGGCAGGAACAGGAAGCATGGGTGAGCTAGGCTAAGCTCGGCCTGGAAGCTTCCAGTTGAGGCTTTCTCCAAGGTGATCCATATTTAGGTGTCTGTAAAGCATCTGTCAGGTACAACTCCCAGAATGGAAAACTACAGGATTTAGAATCCATGAAAATCCCATTGCTAGCGGCCAATGTCTTAGCAATAGCCAGTCTTTAAGATTTCACCTGGTGCCTTGTGAAAAGATAAAGGAAAAGATGTCCAAGCGCCTAGGCAGGTCTATGGAAGAGTCTTCCACTGACACACACACCCCCAAGACAAATAGAAATAATAAAGGGAAAACATTTTTTAAATGTAGGGATGTCTGAGGAACCAATTTGCAACTTAAAACCGTTTTTCCCAGTCCTTATTTGAAGCACACTGCACTTTACAGGTGAAATCAGAAAAATACACAAGCTTCTTATAACCTGCCCACGGAGCCATCCATCCATGAAACCAACAACTGTGTATCCACAGTGATTTCCCTAGGCAAGAAGTGCAAGGAAATAATGAAAATAAATTTAAAACCACTTCATTGTTTATTAGCTTCTCAAAAGCACTTAGGCAACCCTTTAAAAAAAAAGAATGTATACAACACACTGCATGGTATGTTATAAGGTCACTCTTAGGTACAAAAGCATTTGTATGGAACAAATTATTACAGACTTCGTTTTAACCACTAACTTGTGTATTCTAAAAAATGGTCTGTAGTAAGGATGAATTTTTTTAAAAAATTTTCTCATTCCCACTGTGTGAGATTTTAGGCAACCCTTTAAAAAAAAAGAATGTATACAACACACTGCATGGTATGTTATAAGGTCACTCTTAGGTACAAAAGCATTTGTATGGAACAAATTATTACAGACTTCGTTTTAACCACTAACTTGTGTATTCTAAAAAATGGTCTGTAGTAAGGATGAATTTTTTTAAAAAATTTTCTCATTCCCACTGTGTGAGATTTTTCACTCCTGGGTTTCATGGTCTGTCATTGTAATAACAAAATATGCTTGTTTGGAACTTCTTTTGTGAGTCCTTTTCGAAGTCCCATCTTCCTTTTGCTCCCGCCTTTGTAGTGCAAGGCACATAGGGAATCCTCTCTACTATGGATGTTAAAACAAGACTGTCAAATGTTTAGTTGATTAGTCACCCACGTTTTAACCACTAACTTGTGTATTCTAAAAAATGGTCTGTAGTAAGGATGAATTTTTTTAAAAAATTTTCTCATTCCCACTGTGTGAGATTTTTCACTCCTGCTCATCAGTCAAAAGACCAGCACGTTGTCTTTTTCTGTCAAAAGCAACGTTATCTAAAACAAACAGGTTTGGGGTAGAAGATACATTTTTTTTTTGCACAAAAAACTCTTCATGATTTATTATTATTTTTAAAGGGACACAAAGTTAAAAGAAATACACAAAAAACCTTGTTATCTTAGTCCACAGAGAGCCAAGTTCTACATTTTTTCCTCACTTCTGAGAACAAGATACTGTATGTGAATATTTACGTTCATAGTCTCCCTTACCATAGGTGAGCCAGATAGTAATTACCGTATTTTTCGCTCCATAAGACGCACCTTTCCATAAGACGCACCAATTTTTTAGGAGAAGAAAACAGGAAAATATAATCTGTTTTCTTAGCTCCATAAGACGCACAGACTTTCCACACCCCTGTTTTGTGGGAAAAAAAGTGAGTCTTATGGTGCAAAAAATACAGTAAATTACTAGGGTGGGATTAGGAAGACACTAGTTCCCCAATTCCGCCACCACTGAGCCATGAAACTCACCTGGTGACCTTGGGTCTATCATTCTCTTTCAACCTGGCTTATCTCATATGGTTATTATGCTGATCAAGTGTGGGAGGGTGAGAGTCCAGTATGCTACCTTGAGCTTGCTGGAGGAAAAGAATACTGTACTATAAAACCTAGCTAGCTAACTAACTAACTAACTAACTGAATGAATGAATGAATGAATGAATGAATGAATGAATGAATGAATGAATGAATGAATGCCTTTGAAATATAGTTAACTTATATTATACAGTTTCCTATTTAGAATGTTTTTCCAAAGTTATTTTGTATACATGATTTATATCCTGCCCTTCTCCCAAAATGGAGACTTTTAAGATTAAAAAAGGGTTCTGTTAGAAACACAAAAGCAAGATTAGAAACAGGTACAAATAAAAACACAAAAGAGGTCCAGCAAATTACTTTCATTTGTAAAATGAAAAATCTGTAAAATACAGATGAGTTTTTAAAAATCAGTTGGAAAACTGATTTTTTTAAAAGTACATAATACATCAGCTGTAGCCCCTTTTTAAAGCAGTGAAAAGTTCATTGCCAAATGCCTGCCTGTATGAAGAAGTCTTGGCCACTGATGGAAAGATAGTAGGGAGGGAGACAACCTGGTCACCATTGGTCCTTGTTCACTGATAATTTTTTCACTCTCTGTAAGACCAAAGAATCATCTAATTCAACATCTTAACAATGGCCATGCAGATGCACACAAGCAAGTAAAAGAGAACAGATCTCTCTCTATCCAGCACAGTAACATTCCTCAATCAAAACATTCAATAATTAAATAAACGTGCGCCCTGAGCACTGCTGAATAAAATCTATTGCCACCAATTAATTAAGTCAAGCTTGAGTTGATTAATCTGCCAGTTAATCTATTGCTGCCAATTAATTTACTCAAGCTTGAGTTGATTAATCTTCCAGCCCTATCTTTTCAATACATTCTTTAACACTGACGTTTGCACACAACTGAGATCCGACGGCTGCCTTCCCTCCCTCTCTGTTCCTTTCATCATTTGATATTGAAATAAGATGTAATTTTTCTAATCAGAAACATTTTTTTAAAAACTCAGTTGCGGAAGAAGGAAGGAAGAGGAACCCATCCCACAAGGCAAAGATGCCTTCCAATGTCTGTATTGCAACAATACCTACAACAATAGCTTGCTTTTGGGGAACTGCTGGAAGATAAAGCCACAGGATTAGTGCAGTTTAGGAACCCAGTAAGATGCTTTCTAATGGGCCAGGCTGTTGATCCACCTAGGCCAGTACTCTAAGCTCTTCCATGTTTTCTGGTGGGATTCTCCTAGCTTTACCTGGAGAATCCTGGTACGTATTCCTTCATGGTCTCCCATCCAAATCCTAAAGAGACCTGACCCTTAGCTTCAAAAAAATCAGGTGAGACTGCATGTTGTAAGGATGGTGTGATGATTCCCCCAGGACACTTGATACAGCCAATACAGACTGCTTTGGAACAGAGTGTAATTCAACCTGTTCTCCTCGGTCAGAAAGAGTGTCCTTTTCTAAAGACAGTGCTGTACTCTTAAAACCTTTTTCAGCAGGAAATATAGGCTGCATTTTGGCCTCTTCATCATGGGAGCAAAGAAAACTGCAACAGCCACTGTACACAGAATAAATCAGAGACATCGGAAGCTTGAATACAAGAGCACAATGTTATCAGATAAGAAGCAGCCCCATGGTGTACGAACTTTATTGAGCATGAGCAGAAGACAACAGCCATTCATGGTACCCAACACACACACTATGCAAAACAGCCCACACTATTCACGACTATCCCACACACTGAAGAGGCTTTAGACGGTACCCAAGGAAGGATGAGAAGAACCAAAGGATACCACCCAGTGATATTTTTGAAAGAAGCCACTGCTGAATCAATTGGGAGCAACTTTTTAGTTGGTCAAAATATTTTAAAACTCCCAGATGAACAAAACATTGCAGCATCAATGAATTGGGGAGGGGGGGATGAAGAAACAATAAGTAATTTGATTTAGGTTGTATTTAATAATAATCTCTGAACTTCAGAGCTGGAGGGGACCCTATAGATCATTGAGTCCAGGTCCTGTCAAGAAGGCACAGGGAGGAATTGAACTCACAGCCTCCAACTGTGTAAACCACTGAGCTATCCAGCAGTGCTGTGTTTAAAATTATAAATTAGCTGTTGTACTTTGGGAATTTAAGTTATGATTTAAAATCCATCACCTTTTCTAAAATGAAGCACCATCACTACACAGATTTACAATGCACCCCTCTGTGTGATTACTCAGAAGCAAATGTGCTTGTTCTATCGGCTTGCTCACAAGTAAGTGGTCAGAAGGCCAGCATACATCCGATCCCTCTCATCGTCAGTACAACCCATAAGCACATCAGTTTTCAGGTAATTCGAATGCGGCAAACAAGTGGAAGTGACACACTTACGAGACTTGTTGATCATTTTTATCAGCAGATGAAGTACCGTCTTGTGGCTTTTGCTCTCATGGCGACTGATATCGGTCTCCTAGAAAAGTAAGAAGGTGTTTTAAGGATCCGATATTGCAGGAAGAAGCCTAAAAAGCTGGGGCAATTGAGAATGGGATTTTCCCGATTCATAGGTAACATGAACAGTGTAGAAAAACTGTGTACACAGGCACTCCTTGTATTTAACAGTCACAGATTTCAATAAAAAATCTTGAAATACATATACAGTATGAGGTTTTATGTACAAAGGAGGTACTTTCCACACTGTGTGTAAATAGAAACAGTGTTACTAAACATAAATCAAGTGAATAATAATAATTGCATGCCACCGAGTAGAGATTCCAACTTGCAGTGACCATTTCCAGGATTTTCAAGGTAGAAAATACACGAAAGTGGTTTACCATTCCCTTCATCTAGAGGCCCCCTGGGATTGTGCAGCAGCTTGCCCAAGGCCACACAGGCTGGTTTTTCTCCTAGGAGGCATCATGAGGGATAGAACTCCCAACCTCTGTCTCCACAGTCAGATACCTAAGTTGTTCAGTTAAATAATGCAATTGTTTCTGAAGATTTTTGGTTTGGTTTGGTTCAGTTCTTATCTGTCTTCAATGTTATAAACAGCATTGGCTTTTCTTCTAATTTCTTACCACACCACCACCACCACCACCACCACTACTACTACTACTACTACTACTACTACTACTACTACTACTACTACTACTACTACTACTACTACTACTACTACTGTTATTATTACTACTGTTATTATTAAGAGAAAGAGGTAGAGGATGAGACAAAGTCCTTCTTGGATCCATTTGATTTCAATGAGTCCAGAAAGTGCTCAACTGATTCTGAATATGTAGTTAATTAAATACAGTGGTGCCTCGCAAGACGATGTTAATTCGTTCCGCGAAAATCGCTGTCTTACAAAAACATCATCTTGCAAAACGAAAGAGCCCACTGAAATGCACTGAAACCGGTTCAATGCGTTCCAATGGGCTGAAAACTCACCGTCCAGCGAAGATCCTCCATAGGGGTGGCCATTTTCGCTGCCTGTAAAGCAGGGAATCCGTCCCTAAACACAGCAGCGAACCATTTTAATTACCCGGCGGCCATTTTGAAACCGCCGATCAGCTGTTAAAAAACATCGTTTTGCGAAGAATCGACTCCTGAAGCAGGGAACCAATCATAGCAAAGCGAAAAAACCTTATTTAGACCATTGTTTTGCGAATCATCGTGAAGCGTTTTTGTCATTTAACGAGGCAATCATTAAGGGAGGCACCACTGTATTGTGTCTTATTTTAAAAAGATGAACTAAAAATGTTACATCATGTAACCAGAAACATAATGACACACCTGTCCATACTTAATAAACACCACATTTAAATCATGTTTTTAAAGCGTTGTTCACTGTGGTACATGTTTATATTTGAGTTTTAGTTTATTATGTACTGCTGCATATTTTTACATAATACCCCTTAAATCCAACGCTCTTAGGACACACATGACATAGAATAGCATTTCATTTTTTCTTCTTCTTTTTAGTTTTCATTTTAATATTAATTTTGATAAATACATATATTCATATAGACATTCATATATTTCTGTCTCCTTCTCCCCCACCCTCCCTGCCTTGCCCATTCCCGCAGCACAGTCATATCCAAGTTCTTATGAGGCTTTCCTAGGAAAATTATAATCATCTTCCAAGTACTGTATATTATAAAGACCAATAAGCTCTGTCTGCATTGGGGAGTCCCTTGTTATCTATTCCATTCATATAAAGAACAAAAGGATGCCATTCAATTGTGAAAGAATCCAGATGTTTTATCCCTTTAGTTTGGTGGTTAATTTTTCCTGCAATTCTGCCATACTCTACAGCATCATGCTGTGATTGATACTCCCTGCATATTTTTCCACTCTTTGGCTATAGTCTGTCTTATTGCTACTAAAGATGTCCCTTTAAGGGTTTATGTAATAAGAAAGAATATACAGCCATGAGTGTTGCTTATTATTATCATTTTTTTTTTTACAAAAGACTCATTTTGGCACAACCCCCGAACACTCAGGAAATCCACTGGAGTCTCTAAACCTGAGATGAGCATACTGCAACACTCCAGATGACAGTGCTGAAATGCAAACACCAGCGTTCCTCACCACTGGCTCCCCCATCTACATCTTACAGAAGCCACAGCCCAAAACCACCTGGAGAGATGCATTTTCCCCACTAAATCCATTCCAGGCATGCCTTGCAGCCATGAAACACATCCAACAGACTGCATCACAAAGAAGCAGGTATGCAATGCAATGAGCTACATACCTGCAGAGAATGCAATTCCTTTAGCTCTGACATTTGGACTGAGAAGAAGCCACTCTCTCATAAGAGTCACGGGGCTTATGCTTTTGCGATCTTCCTTAACTTAATGTATCCACTGGGCTGTTTCAACTCTCCTCATCTAATACCTTCGAGAAAATTGCAACCTGTCCCTTCTACCTCTCAGGAAGAGTTTCAAAGCTACTTTGCCATGTGCATCAGAGAGAGAGAGAGCAGGAAGTTTCCCTGATCACAGTCACTGTTTACTTTTAAACACACCTATGATGAATTCAGAAATCCAGCACCTCAACCACAAACTACACATCACACCCATATTGCACACAAGGATTCAAAGACTGTTTGGAATAAATAAAGTAAACTGGCTTTGCTGAGTGATAGGAGAGTCCCACAGCACGCCCAGCTTAAAACCATACTGGTCTGGTGTTAAACCAAGCTAATTCAAGCAGGTCCAAACGGACGGTGCCTAATCTGGATTGGGTCCAAATCCAGGTCAGACTCCCTCTTCACCTACGTGCCAGCAACTGCCTCATACTACGTCAGCACAGAGATACTCTGGGAGCAAGCAACAAGAGGTAAAGGAAGTGCATCTTTCCACTACGTCCTGTATGGGGCCTCCCCTTTTGGACACCTGGCAGTTGAGGGCATTGCTATCATCTGTGCATCATAATTTACAAGACTGAAATTTACAATCATTTACAAGACATGGGCTTCACCTTTCTCCAGATGCTCTCCCCTCCTCTCCAGATCTCTCTCTCTCTCTCTCTCCTAAGTTTTCTGTGTTAGAAAATTCAAGAAAACCCAGGAGAGAGAGAGAGAGAGAGATCTGCATTAGAAAACTGACTAGAGGGCAGAACAGTACAATCTACAGGAGGGAACAGACAGCCATAAAGAATTGAAATGCTCCACCTCCCTATTTCACATTACCCCGTCTACAGTAGCTTCCATGCATGTAAGACATATCCTACCGATGTTCATGCAAACTCTATGTAACTTCCCACGGTTGATTGTGATTAACTGACAACCTATTTACTGATGGGTTGCATCTCAGTTGTGCAATCACGCATATTAGCAAGCACACAACCAAGACACACCAGACACCTTGTTAAATTACTACATTTAGCCACAACAAATTGCACAAGTCATATACAAATACCAATATGAGGGTGCTAATCACTTCTGTTTGATTTTATCTCAACAGTAGCCACTGCAGATCACACATATTCCTCTCTTTTTTTTTTGCGCAACATTGTCTGTTATGGAATTCACCAGAAAGCGCTCTATAACTGCTGGAGACCTCAGTAGTTTAGGTCTCTGGCTACAGAACCAGAGGCTGGGAGTTCAATTCCCCACTGCGCCTCCTTGATAAGGGCTGGTCTCAATGATCCGTAGGGTCTCTTCCAGCTCTGTAGTTCTAAGATGATGATGATTTTATTTTTCTTCAACAGCTGGCCTCTAAACAATAGACTATACAGAAGGTAATCAGATTTTCAGCATCTCAAAATTACCCTGTTAACTTCTAATTATCTCTTTCTATTTTCAAATTATTGTTCAGTTCCTGAATTTATGTGTCACCTTGCTAATTCAAAATCTAGACCGTAATCTTTTTTTTAAAATGCCGATTCAGAACATTATAGATACAGATAAATGAGTGTTAAAAATTACCACCGCTATGAGAATACTGAATTTATAACCTCACTGTCTCTCTCGTCAACTCCTTCAGGCTGGAATAAAACTTTGGTGCAAGCATAGAAAAACAATGTGAAATTTGAGGAAAACTGCTATTAACAGTGAGAAGTAGATATATTTTTCAAGGTTGTTGGACCCAAAAGGAGAAGCATTGAAACCTTGCTGTTAATAACATCTCTGATCAAAACTACTGTTTGCTACTGATCCTTGTCCACAATATATCGTTACTATATCTATCAAAGCAAGAGGTGCATTTCTTGAAAAATGACTGCATCACATCCTGTTTAAAGGGACATCATTTCCCCTTACAAATATCCATTAAGCACGTCCTGGGCCCACCATGTCATGACCTCTCTGTTAAATCTGATCAGCTAGAAAGACAATGAATGGACTTAACAGCTAACATGGTCAATAACATAGCAGCGTGTAATGTGTTCATATCACCTAACCATAAGAAATGACCTCGCTTCCATGAAAGAAAAGCATAGGAACTGCCTTTTTGAAGGATACTTATAACAAAATAACTTAGAACTAATCATTCAAGCAAATAATGAATGGATTAGATCATACTTTCTAACTACTATATAAACATTGCTAGGTTATCTATTCCGCACCACTTTTATCAGTTAGTTTGCATGCACTGAAAGGCCAAAACACATTAGGCATTTTATACTGGAATAAAAAGCATTATATTTTCTACATCCTGGGACTAGTTTTTCCATTTTTTCGACCTAACATAACAATGAACATTGCCAGGTTATCTAACTCTGCACTGCTTTTATCAGTTAATTTGCATGCATTGAGCCAGAAACTAAAAGCACAATCTGATTTATGTCTGGAATAGTCTACTGTTTGTATTATTATATAATGTACATTTAATTTGTTGTGTACCACCTAGACTAGTAATTTGCTAAATGGGTGGTATATAAAATTAATTAATCAATCAATCAATCAATCTGGCCAAGATGACCAAGGCCAAGTGAGTGGCTAGGAAGCCAGATGAAGGGAGGTTGAATCCCAACCTC